AAAAAAAAAAAAAAAAAAAACACGTTGTATTATAGCAACATATGGAGAGCCTTAATTTTGGCTTCTTTTTCTTGCAGGTCAGTTTGCAAAATGATCGAAATAAGTCACAAAATGATCGAAATAAGTCACAAAATGATCGAAATAAGTCACAAAATGATCGAAATAAGTCACAAAATGAACCCAAAAGCTGCTGCATGAGGCTGCTTGCTCAGGGCAACGGACGGAGGGCCTGCGGTGTCAGCAATAAGTTCCCCACGGGAGATGCTCTTTGGTAGCAAAGCCCAATGAGGGCTCCCCAGCCTCCCTCGTCCCCACACAAAATGCAGGCAGGGCCACCTTGTAGGATTAGGAAAACTGGGCTATCTGGGAAAAAAAAAAAAAAGCACCATTGCATCCCATAGCAGCGACAGACACAGAGCTGCAGTGCTTGGATGCGGCTTCCTTTAATTGCATCTCCTGCTCTCTCGCCGTAGGCTACGGATATACAAAGCTGCAAAGCTCGGGGAATCAGCCCGAGAGGAATCGCATTGGGAGGAAATTATCCCTCGACAGACGAGGGATAATTGGGCCCCGCAGCCAGCTTGATTGGTCACGGGTTAATGTGCTCATGTGCCTGCCTGAAATATAAACCAGGAGACGGATGGGGGTCTGATCGGATTTCCAATGGCAGCTCTGTCTCCAGCCCCTCGTCCAGGTCCCCTCTGTGATGTCCCCAGTCATGGAGATGGTGGCATCGTCCAAGAAACCCGGGAATGGAGCATGAACGAGCCCCAGGGAGCTCGGGATAATCCTCACTCAGTGACAGGGCACCATCCAGCCTCAGGTCCCCTAAGCCCAAGTCTGCCCTACAAGCCAAGATACATTCAGAGCCCTATGAATTCCCCAAAATCGGGGGGATTTGCACCTGGAAAGGTTTTATATACCAAGGGAAAGTTACGGCAACGTGTCACAGGAAGGCAGGGAGGTGACCACAAAAAAGAGACTTCAATTGCAGGCAATATTCCAGCACCCTGGGAACTGAGGATCCTCCTCTCTGGCACATCACTAAGAGGATTAACCCTTATTTCTGCTGTTTATTTATTCAAAGGTAGCTAAAATGAGGCAGCAGCGTCAAGGTGAAACCCTGCAAAGAGGTTGCAGAGGGCAGGCGAGGTGCCACCAGTGCCCACCACTCACGTCCTGTTCTTTAAGGAACATTTATCTGCTTCCCTGTGTTTTTGCACCAAAATGGGTCACAGGGAGCTTCTCCAAATTAAACAAAAAGTGTAACCCCAGCCCCAATCCATCCTCCACTGCCACCATGGCCCCATTGTCACTCTTCTGTCCCCGCGTGCCCAGTGGGGACAGGTCCCTCCTCACCTGCCGTGTGCAGGGGTGTCCTCTTGATGTTGCTCTGAGTGTCCCAGCAGGTTGGGGACACGTCGAGCAGGTACTGGAGGACGGGCAGGTGGCCCTCGCGGCTCGCAATGTGGAAGCAGTTCCAGCCATCCTTGTTCCTCAGCAGAGGGTTCGCCCCGTGCTCCACGAGCAGCTCGATCACCTCCAGGTTGGTCTTGGTGCAAGCCATCATCAGGGGAGTCCTGCAAGGAAAACGAGGCCATTAAATTCACGAGGGAGACGCTGCTGCCCAGGAAAGACAGCACCAGAGCGAGGATTTACTCTGAAGGGGGTAGAAACCACAGTTATCTCCCATGTTGAGTTTAGTTTGGGACTAATTTCCCTGCCCTCACCAGCAGCAGCCCCTATTTTCCTTAATTACCACATTACACCAGCGACAAGATGTTTGCAAAGGTAACAGCTGAGCTGTCCTAAGAAAGGGGCATGTTTTCCATTTCACCCACTGTTTACCATCTTTTCCCAAACATTCCACTCTGGACAGAAACCTTGGAGTTTTCCCAGGAAAAAGCAGCGATTCTCCAGGACTGATCAGTGCAAGCAGCAACGAGAAACATCCCTAATTCAGAAAAAAAATGAAAAAACTCTCCCACAACAGTGGGTTTGGAGGTCGAATTAGACACCATCTGCTGCGGGCGACAGAGCTGGGAGCTCGGGGCTTCTTCCAGCTCCCTCTCCGCACAGGGGCCTCAGGCCTGGGTATATATTCAATGCAAATAAAATGCAAATAAAATGCAAATAAAATGCAAATAAAATGCATGGCCAAGGCCATGCCCTAGAAAGCCCCAAATTGCTGTTTTCTCGCCCATGGACAGAAGGACAGTGAGGGAATATTAAGGAAAACCAGGTCTGCAAGAGAGTTTGCAGCCGGATCCAAAAGCCTCTTCCCACCTCCATTCCCATGGACATCAGGACAACACCAGAACAACCAGTGACCACAAGGACTGGCCCATCTGCCCGGTGATCCTTCACCTTCAACAAGACCCTCCCACCTCTCCCTCAATAGGAAGCCGCTTTTCTGTTAGCATGACTCTTATTTTCTCTCTTTTTTGGCACAGACGAGCAGTCTTCCCCGCCGAGAGCGGCGCTCCCACCTACCAGTCGCCCTTCTTGAGGCAGTCGACGGCGGCGCCGCGGCGCAGCAGGTAGCGGGCGCAGGCGGCGCGGCCGGCGGCCGCCGCCTCGTGCAGGGGCCGCTTGTAGTCGCCGTCGGCGCCCTCCAGGCCCAGGACGCCCACCAGGAAGGCCAGCACCTCGAGGCGCCCATGGCGGGCGGCGTGATGGGCCAGGGCGGCCCCGCGCGCCGCCTCCAGCGCTGCCTCCTCGGGCCCCAGCGCCGCCCGCAGCTCCTCCAGCCGGCCCGTCCGCACCAGCCGCAGCAGCCACTTGGCGTCGGCCGCCGCGCACATGGTTGCCACGGCCGGCAGGGAGCCCCTGAGGCCTACAGGAGGCTGCCCAGGCCTCTAAGCGGCTGCTCAGGCCTGGAGGGAGCCACCGGGGCCTATAGGAGGCCCCTGAGGCCTGTAAGTGGCTGCCCGGGCCTACAGGAACCTGCTGAACTCCACAGGAGGCCACCGAGGCCTATAGGAGGCCGCCGAGGCCTATAGGAGGCCGCCGAGGCCTATAGGAGGCCGCCGAGGCCTATAGGAGGCTGCCGAGGCCTATAGGAGGCTGCCGAGGCCTATAGGAGGCTGCCGAGGCCTATAGGAGGCTGCTGAGGTCCACATGAGGTCGCTGAAGGCTGGAGGCGGCTGCTGAGGTCCACAGGAGGCCGTCAAGGCCCATAGGAGGCCACTGAGCTCCACAGGAAGTGGCCAAGGCCTGGAGAAGGCTGCTGTGGTCTACAGGAGGCTGCTGCAGCCCACAAGCGGTTGCTGAGGCCTACAGGTGCCCGTCGAGGCCTGGGGGAGGCTGCTGAGGTCCACAGGAGGCCGCTGAGGCCCAGAGGAGGTCACTGTTGCCCAGAGGAGGCTGCTGCGGCCTATGGTGGCTACTGAGGCCTGGAGAAGGCTGCTGAAGCCCCTGAGGCCTATAGGAGGCCACCAAGGTCCATAGGTGGCCACTAAAAGAGCCTCAATTCTTCCTCCCCCTTCGAGCTGAAGCCACCCAGGCTCATCCGTGGCGGCGTGACGTCACCAGCGCCGTCGTGACGTCATCATCAGAGCGCCTCCGCTCTCTCGCCGACCCTCCGTGGAAGCTCGCGCACCCGGAAGCGGCTCGTCCCCGCCTCTGCTCCCTCCCCATTGGGCGGCGCGGCGCGAGGCGCGTTCCCATTGGCTGGGGTGGGGCCGGGCGGCGGGATCGCGGAGCGGGGTCGGCGCGCGGCGGAGGGAGCCGAGTGAGCGCGCGGAGCCGGAGCGGGAGGGGGGAGCGGGCACCATGGCAACCGCGTGGGCGGGGGGCACGAGGCGGGAGGCGCCATGGCAACGAGGGTTTGGGCGGCAGGGACCATGGCAACGGGGCGGCGGGGTTGCCATGGCAGCTGGGGGGGCCCTTGGCCATAGCGGGGAAGGGGCCTGTGGTGATGGGGGCTGTTAGCGACCGGGCAGCACGGGGAGGCCTCGGAAATGGGGTCCCAGAGCAGGGACAGGGGAATGGCAGTGTCGGAGGGGCCATGGCAAAATGGAGATGTGGCACTGGCTGCCTGCGGTTGGAAAACGAAACAGAAAGAGCCCCGCCAGTGCCAGAAACCAGCTCCGAACGGAAAGCTCCTCTGGAGCAGCCGCCATGTCCTTCTCCCTACCCACTTGCAGCCCTTATCCCTCCTTTCCTACTATGTCTCCCTGTTTATGAATGAAATTCCTTGCTCAGGGACTTCCCGCAGGGCTTTTCGAGATTCCCACCAGGCAATTTTTGTGGAAAGATGACACATTATTTGCATTACTGCAATAAATCACGGGGAAGAGGTGTGCTACAAAATGGCGTTTTCTCCTTAACTGTCGCAATCTGTTTTGGGTTTTCCCAACTAAATCCCTCCATGATATATTGTTAACGCTGTCAACCCGAGCTTTTCTGCGCTCCCAAAGTGACCGTTTCCCTGATATCACCAGCTGTGAATGTGGCATTTTGATAACACATTGCCTTCCCCTGGTCCCTCAACGCCTGCTCTAAACTCTTGCAAACCCCAGTGGTGAAAACACTGGGGCTGTCCTGACAAACTTGTGAAAAATAATCACGAAATAGGTGCACCTGCTAAAAACACAGCCCGTTTATTGCTGCTGCTAACGGCTCTTGTTTGGTTGTCCCTTTTTGCATGCTGGCGAAGCAGTGAAGCGCTTCAAAAGGATGCACCTCACGGCCGAGGACTGCGAGGCCATGGCGCGGAGTGGCGTGGGCTCCCTCACACAGCCGCTGAGCCAGAGGCCGACGAGCGGCGATGGGAACAGGGGCCTCTACCCCAGCCAGCGGGCAAGGAAGTCCCGCGGAGGTACAAGATTTGGCAGCCGAAAGCAGGGGCGACCCGCGAGGGACCCCCCGCGATTCGTGGCTGCGCGGGGACGACGTCTTCCACAGGGCCAAAATTGCAGGCTTATCAGTTTGCAAAACTGATAAGACTTGGAGCTAATCAACGCAGGACACAGCGGAGTTAAGGGTGAGGCTGTGCAGAGGTAAAGGCCTGGCCTCCAAAGCAAGGTTTAACTGCTTTTGCACAATAACATATGCTTGCATGCTCACAAAAGCAGAGACAACATTTGAGAAGCAGAGGGAAAAAAAAACCTTAAATATTATCCCTGAAACTCAGGTTGCTCTAGAGAGTGAGATTTAGGAGCGCTACAGCTGCCTGGCTAGTGTGGGGACCTCTCTGTACCCAGGGTAAGGTGGGCAGAGAGATCTGCTGGTGAACCAAGACACCAGAGTCCAAGGCTCTGTGCTTGCAGACACACTTTTCATTTTATATATAAGCCCCCAAAAGAGACCTTTGGCAGATTCACTTTTAAAATCCAGGTTCAATCCTCCAGGTTTTGGGGGTATTGGACTTGGACATTAATCGGGGAGCTGTTTTGTTTGTTTGTTTTAAGCAGCAAATGTCTTGCAAATCAGATCTCTTTAAGCCATAGCTCCATGAGCAGCCAGAAATAAACCCCATTAAAATCAGCAGTAGTTGCTTGTGATTTTTTCTTTTTAAAACCTATTTTCCCCGAGTTTCCTCCTAGCTAAGCATCAGGAGATGCTGCAGGCTAGGAGCAGGATGGGGTGGATGCCATCAACGCCAGTAAGTTTAGGCACTGAGATGGTTGCAGGAGGCACAAGGGCAGTGCCCATGTGCTGTGAGAGAACAGCGAGGCTGCCCAGACCACGTTGTTGCCAAGTTTTAGTTTCCTTCATGCTCTCCAGTGTTTTTCTTTTGCCTTGCAGCCAGAAGGTGTCTGGCGAGAAATGTCTGTTTAGCCTTTTGGAAGTGTTTGTGTCTCTCATTCATGGGTACAAGCAGCCTGCAAACGCTCGGTGCAGTGACCCAGAGAAGCAGCCAAACCCTGAACTTTCCCCAAATCTTAGTCTCTTTTTCTTTCACTGGGTTCACAGCAGTAAATAACCACTAAAATAGTGGTTAGTAAATAAACACTAAAAGCCCTGCCTTGGTCTCACAGTTGTACCACAATAGTTTGACTTGCATTTTTATGCTTCCTTCCTGCCTGTGGAAATATCTAGTATCTAGTTCAATGTGTAGCCGTGTTTACCTTTAATGCATGTGTGGTTAGTTATGTTAGCTGGGGGTTGCTAATCTGGGAGGTACAGATTAATATAGGCCATATCTTTTTCAGGAAGCTCTGAGAGCTCCCAGAAATGCTCAAAAAATGCCCAGGTTATGTGGATAGATAGTGCCCGGAGGTGAATTTTGACCTCCGTGGTCAACCAGAGAGGCAACAGGAAGCCCAACAGTTCACTTGTAATCAAGCTCATAAATCCATGAGTTGAGGTCTCCATCAGGAATAGATGCAGCCTCTCATCTCCTTATCAGCTAGGATGATACGCAGCTAGCACTGCATTTTACTCTCTTTTCCGTTGGCTTCTCTAATGTCCCTCTCTCATGCCTAGGTCATCAGAAGAGCATCACCGATTATTTCAAGAGCTCTCAGACGCAGCAGGAAGGTGCAGGGAGGACACAGAGCCGTGAAATCAAGGAGGAGCGACCAGATTCCCTCTTCAGTGAAGCTGATGAATCCTTCAGCAGTGCAGAGGATTTCTTCTCCTTCCTAGGGGAGGAAGATATTGCACCAGCTCCCAGGGAAGGCACCCGCTGTGGAAAAAGGACCCTGTCCGCAGCAGTCACGGGCTGCCACGGCACAAAGCACCTGTGGGATGAGCCTGAGGAGAAGCCACGGGTGCTTCATCCAGCACACAGGCAAATCAAGCAAGAGCAGAGCCAAATCAAGCAGGAACTCGATGACATGGAAATCGAACCCCTTCCCGATGCTCGCTACGGACTCCTGGGCACCCGGAGCTGGGATGTGCCTCAGGGCAGCATGGATAAGCTGCCCGTGGAAGTCCTGAGGAAGGTCTTTGCTTTCCTCCCAGTCACTGATCTCTACCAGAGCCTGAGCCTGGTGTGTCGCTTGTGGAGGCAGATTGTCACTGATCCTCTGGTAAGGGCTGCTGGGACACTGAGCTGAGCCTGGAGCTTCTCTCGCTGCTCCGCTGTGTCTGAACCCTGTGGCTGCATGTGTTGCTCTGGGAACATCCATCCTGGGCCTGTTTGTCTGGTTTTTTTCTTCCCTTTAAACCCATTTAAGGGTCCTGAGCCTTTCCTGTTAGGTCTCTTTGTCAGTTTGCTCTTCAGGACTTCAGGAAACACTCCTCCCGCATTCCTACCTGTTGAAATGCCAACTTGCATCAGGAGATCAGGTTTGGAATAGTTTCCTTAGCTGCAGTCTTTCCATGCATGGAAAGAGCATCCCGATCCTCCACAAAATCCCTCTACTTTGTTTCCCTTATAGACTTTTTTTTTTTCTGCCATGGATCAAGCAGGAAATTTGGGCTATAAGATAGGGCAGTCTCCTGTCATGCTGCTGCTCTGTGTCACCAACCCCATTTCCTATGTGTGTGTGTGTGTGATGTTTCTCGGAATGAAACATGTTTTGTGGGTGGGCCTTTAGCTGTATTTTTTATTTATGGAGCTTATATTTTTTTCTGCCACATTGCAGTTCATCCCGTGGAAAAAGCTCTACCATCGGTACGTCATGAAGGAGGCCACGGCCCTGCACACCGTTGGGCAGCTCTTGGAGCATTACGCCATAGCCAAGGAGCAGGAGGAGTGTATGGTGGGCATGATCAGGTGAGGCTGCCTCCCCCCGGGGCTTTGTGGGTGCAGATCCTCTCACCTTCCTTGCTTTGAGTCTTCTGCTTCATTCTATTAACCGAGAGAAGGAAGGAAAAATTATACAAGCCATAGAGAGTACCACATTTTGGAAGGTCATAGTGAGAGGATAAGAGGTAAAGGACATAAACTGCAGGTTGGGAAATTCCACTTATTATTAGGATAGTGGTCAAACACTAGTGCAGAAAGTGGGAATCTCTGTGCAGAGAGGTGGGAATCTCTATCCATAGAGATACTCAGCTGGACAAATAACCAATATTCTCACCAGGACAAGTAACCAAACCTTGAAAATGGCCCTATTTTGAGCACAGGATTGGATCAGGTGGCTTCTGAAGTCCTTTCTGACAGTTCAACCTTTGCTTTCTTGCAATCTTTATACAGAAAAGTCCCCAAAATAACAATTTTTGTCACCAGGGCATCCAGGGAAGACGATACGGAGCACGGGGCAGTGTGGATGCACTAGGGAACATGGTCCTGGGTGCTGGGCCCACGAGCCTCTCTCAATCACTCCATCCTGGCGCCAATACCTTTAAGTGGAGAATAATTAACCTTGTAGTCAAGGACTGGGATTGCTTTATGGTGGACTCCACATCCACACAAAAAAATTGGGTATGTTAAAAAAAGTGGATGTCAGCAAGAAGCTGTGGCTTTCCACAACCTGGATCTGGGAGCCTGGAGGATTATTTCCAGGATGGACCCATAGCACAGCAGTGGAGAGGAGGCTGCTAGGAGCTCTAAGAGGAGCGAGAGGACTAAGTGATAGCGAAATGGTGCAAGAAGAAGGATCAAACTGGGTTAAGAGCAAGGCAGATCCCTCTTCTGCAGAGACACCTAAAAACTAGTAGTGCTCCTAGTAGAGAACCTTATTTGTGCAAGACATGAATGTGAGTAAGCTCATGGAACGGGGTTTATCTGCAAGTGCTGCTGCTGCTGTTGTGCACAGGTGCGTGTCTGCCATCCACACCAGCCAGAACGTCAATCCCAGCGCCGTTCTCCAGTGCCTGAGGAGCCACCACCTCTTCCCAAAAGCTGCAGCCTGCATCGCCGGCAAAGTGCCGCACTTCCAGAGCAGCACGAGGGTAGGTTGAAGCTGTTACCCTGCATTCCAGTTATTCCCAGCTCTACCCCTATACCCATTCCAGTTATACCCCTGACTCGGTCCTTCTTGTCGCGGCCACCAGCCTCAGGCCATGTGGGCGATAGTGACAACGATGGTGCTTTTCTCCAATGGCATCCGGGACATCCAAACGCTGATGGAGCGTCTGTGGAGACCGAGCTCTACGCTGTCCTTCGTGGACGTGACCGAGGCACTTTACTGCATAGCCACGCTGCTCTATGCCATGAGAGAGGCAGATATCGCCATCTCCAACAGGTGAGGAGCATGCTGAAAAATAGCAGAGCAGTTTCTAAAACTTCTGGGCAACCTGTTTTGTTTTTGAGCACGTGTCTCCGAGGGGCGTGTGGCACTGAGCAAACTCAGGAGCAGCAGTTTCATGCCCAGAGGAGCTTAATCTCACCCAGCCACGAGTTGAGGCCAGTCCTAGTTATGGAGGGGCTTTTAGATGATGTTATATCCTAGAAAGCCATGGTACAAAACACATTTTTTTTCTGGCTCCATAGACCTGCTCCAGTGGGAGTTTGGAATACTGGGAATTGTAAAATAAATCACAAAATAAATTCCCATTACATTTGATTTGATTCTTGAACTGTATCATAGTCTACTTCTTTTTTGGAAGATAGTGTTTAATTTTCTTTTTCTCCCTGAAACAAAAACAGGAATCTTTGAAACAGAGGTTTAAAAGCTGCTATAGAGACATTTAATTAGAAATACAGACATACCAGTAGAAGCATTTAAATACAGTAATTACCTTTTCTACCACTGGTCCTGAGGCTGACACTTCACTCCTCTTTCTACGTGATGCCATAACTTGATGTCATTAACTGGAGTAAATGACTGTTAAGGACCTGGCAGACAAGGGGTCCAGCACAGGAGCAATGAGAGGCCGGTGTGAAAGTCCCCTGTGTCCCATCCCTGTCTCCTTGAACAATCTAGACCATGAGAAGAATGAACAACTGCATCTTTTCTGCTTGTGACATAAAGCACAAGGAGGAAAGATGTCCTTAAGGAACCATGTGAGATATTTCCTGAGTGGTGACAGCGACCTCGAGTTGGCTGCTGTTAGGTCAGAGCTGCAAAGCTGTAGGAAAAGTCATCAGCAAGGACAGCAGTGTCATCCCTGGAGTCTGACAGTGAACGGGAAGGGAAATTAATTGTAAACCAACTAAGTAAAGCCAGAGACACACGTTCCTCTACACACAGCAGCAAAACACCTCAAAGTGGTTTTGTCAGGGCTAACACGCTTGTATGAAATAACCATAAGCCACTTGCTAAATTGAATTTACTTTTGAGGCCAGAACGAGCCCCAGCCTCTCTCTCCTTGGACTCTGTTGCTGATTGTGGTCTGGAGAGCCAAAGGATCCCGTGGACTCTGATCCCAGGTCCTGTTTGTGCAGCTCACTCTTAGGTAACATCTCATGCCCAAGCCTGAGCAGGACAAGGGAGAAGGAGCTCTCCCCATGCCACTTTTGCAGTCACATCTCAAAGTTTAACTGATGGCAAATTGAAATATTGTCTCATGCCCCATGATATCCTCAGTGCTTCACAATGCAAACAGAAAACATTTCTCCTGAATTTAAGCAGAAAAGCTCTTGCCTGGCTGCAGCCCTCAGCATTTTGGAGCTTTTGTCTTGCTGGGCTCATTGTCCTTGATGCACAAGCAGGTTTGTCCCCTTCACAAAAGAACTGGGGTTCCCTAATCGAGATACAGGCAGCTTGCTGGAAAGGGTGGCTTGTGTGCACCTTGTGCATAGCTCATCAGAAGGATTAAAGATGTTAGAAGCCTTTTAGGTAACTGCAGAACTTCCATTTGTTGTTGTTGATATTTCAACATGGATATTGTTGCTATTTCAGTCATAGATCCTTTGTTGTCCTTTCTGCCAGGATCCATTACAATGTTTTCTACTGCTTGTATCTGATGGAAAACGGCTCCGTGACTGCGGAGGCAGAGGAGGAAACACCTGCTTCGCGCTGCAGACGGGACCTCTGGTCCGGGTAATGTCCACGGCAGAATTGAGCAATGCACCCGAACACGCAGCTCCCTAGCGGAGCCCTGAACCTCGGAGCAAGGATTTCATGCCAAGATTCAAAGTTTTAGAATGACTAGTGCTAAGCCTCGTTGGGCTCTTTGCCATCTTCTGCATAAATTCTTGGACAAAACCAAAACCAGGCCTTAAATCTATTAGGTTGCTTCCACTGACTGAATTTAGTTCTGTTTAGAATTCACTAGTGAATTCACTAGATCAGTGAATTCAGATTCACTGATGTGACTGCTCCTATTTTTTGGTGGAAGACATCGCGTGGTGCAACGTGTGGTGAGATTTCACACAGCTAGAATATCTACTGTAGTCCCTCATCCCACCTTCCCTATGTTTAAGCTTTGAGGTTTAACATAGGCTTAGCTTAAACTTAAAAGCTTAAACATAGACTGTTTAAGCTTTAAGGTTGAGCTCGATGAGCTTGAAGGTCTTTTCCAACCATAATGAATCTATAAGAAGCTTTGGAAGAAGGGGCAGAGGTTTAACAAGAGGTTTAGCTAGAGGAGCTCTCGTTTAAACAACATATTCTTCTAGACATGTTGAAGTTGCTCACAGCCAAAACCAGGGCTGGATTGCTGAGGATGTAGTGCAAAAAAAATGCAGTAGTTCATTTGCAAGCACTTTATTTGTGCATGGGGGAAAGGATATATCAGTCCCGGGATGCTGCTTTGGCTCCATGTTCTGGATTTCCTTGCTTTTGCTAAAGGAAAGGCACTTGGGGCAACACATTTCCCTGGCCTGTGGGAGATCCCGTGCGGTTTCGCCTCTGCTGCAGTTACCTTGAGTTGAGTCGTTTAGTCTCCGTATCCTTATCTGCAAAATGGGAACAGCATTCCCATGCTTTCCTCCCTCACAGAGGTGCAGCACAGATAAATCCAATAAAATCACCAAAGATCCAGCAGCGTTAGAGGCAATTAAAAATATATCAAAGGTGAACAGGTGATGGGCTTCACTTCTTGATGATTTCCCATCCTTTCGTGTCTTCCCTTCCATTTGAAGTCTCCTTAAGGGGAGGCTGCGTGTCCTGGAGAAGACGCATTTTGGTGACATCTAACTGCTAATGTCAATGATATTTAAACAAGGCAACACATCAGGGAGGGCTCTGTGCAAAGAGAGGTTTGCACTGCTGCCTAATTGCAGGCTTCAGACATTTATTAATAAAACAGTGGTGCTTCAGACCGAAGCATCAAATGCCTTTCTGAATGTTAATCAAAGCTCCTGGTTCCCCTGTGAGGCCGGGCTAATTGGTCCATCCTGCATGACAGGAAAGCAGAGAGCAATTCAAGGCTCAGGCTTTCAAAAGCAACAAAATACCCCCGAACTTTGCTCCTGTTTATTTCCAATGAGTCTGAGGCTTCTGGGTGTCAAAATCATTTGGAAAACACAGCTTAGGACCCTTGAGAAGATCTCCTATGGGACCTTCTTCCAGGCTGCACCTTTTATTTTGCCGTCTCCAATCTTTTCTTACTCCCTAGAATTTGCTGCTTTTCTGACTGGCTCAATAACCAAATTACTCCAGTCCTGCCTTCTAGGTAGCACTAGAATTAGAACCTAAAACTAGGAGCCATTGTTCCTTGGTTTCCTCCTGTTTGTTTGATGGTTTTATGTGGATTTTTTACCTTAATTCCCTTTCCTCTGTTTTCTTTTTTCTTTTTTTGTTGTTTCGTTGTAGTAATTGCCCTGACATAAAGCTGACGCATGAGCAGAAAAGGATATTGAATCACAAAATTGAGCGTGGTCAAACAGTGAAAATTATGGCATTTGCAGGTAAGAAAGCCAAAAAATGACACGGTGAGAGGACCAGCATAACCCCTAACTCTGATCCTTCCCTCCCCGTTCCTTCTCCCAGAGGAGTTCTGTGGGTGCCAGGAGATCAACCTGACTTTTAATCCATACAAAATGTCAAAGCGAGCAGAAGAATGGGTAAATGTCAGGTTGGGACATGATGCAGGAACAAAACATTTGGGTGCAGCTTGCAGGGCACCCACCTTAGCCTTGCTTAGGCTCGTGCTGGGCCAGTTCTCCAGCGTTACTGTCCAAAGGCCACTAGACGGAGTTGCTCCTACTTTTTTAGAGCTGATATTCATGTAGGAGCGAAACAAGTCAAGAAATCTGGTTTTGAGCTTTATTTTGAAGAAGGGGAATTGCAAAACATCAAGGAGACCTGCTTGAAAAGGAAATGATCTCCCTGCACCTGCAGAGCATTTCCTTCTTGGGTGCTTCTTGTGTCGGTTAAAAAGTTGACATGTCCAAAATGATGAAAACAAAAGTCTTTGTGAGCTGTGAAAAGGTCCCTTGCAATTACAATAGGGCAAGGCAGAAAAAAAGGAAAGAGTTTGAGAAACTGTTGGTAAAAAGCATAAAAGCAAACATCAGACTTCAACCATCTGCAGGAGGTTGCTTGCCAAAACGTCTGCTGGATTGGTACCTGATTGCAATATAAATTATGTCTTAGAGTGAATGAGGCTGTAGCAGAAAAACTATGTTTCTGTATCCGTGTTCCTCAAGGATCCTTCTCTATAGGACTCCACTGGAGGATCTGCCTCAGATTTATGTGGAAAAGGTTAGGGATGGAATATGCTTTGGTATTATTCATTTCCTGACCTGGACTACATCACTCCAGAGATGTAGGAGACCTCAAGTGGGAAGCAGCTGAACCAGCAACTAACTTGTTTAAAACTGTCAGGACTTTAAAAGCTGGGAAGGTGGAAAGGGGGTGTCACTTTTTTAAAGGGAGACGTGAGAAGAAGACTTCCAGTGAGGCCAATATCTTTACCAGGCAAATGGGTAAGAACTCTAATAAAGGATAGAACTAATGAGTAAGCACAAATAGATGTGCCAGGCAGGAGATAACATCAGCTTGGAGAAGGGGACCCTGGTCCCCTTGAATCTGTTAGGATTTTGGCAAGTAAATGTGTCCTGCAGGGAGGTTTGGTTGATACAGCCTGTGTGACTGAAGGCAAGACTGGTAAGAGAGGTGCAAGTTCATCCTTCCCTGACTCCAACTGCTTTTTATTCATTTGCTTTTGCTTTTCAGGTACAGGAAAGACCTCGACTTTGATCAAGTACGCGGAGAAGTTTGCTGAGCTCGACTTCCTTTATGTGACATTTAACAAAGCTGTGGCAGAGAGAGGGAAACGTGTCTTTCCCCGAAACGTTACCTGCAAGACTTTTCATTCACTAGCATATGAAAGTGTTGGCAAACGGTGAGCGGGGTCTTCAAATCCTTCGTTGAAGGCCGGTGGAGCATGGAAAAGGCACGGGAGGAAAAGAGGGTCTGGGTTTTGAACTAATCTTCCAGGGCTTGAGGGAGCAGAAATGCCAAGGAAAACAATTTCTTCCACCCGCTTTAAGCCAAACCACAATTTTCAGTTTCTGCATTCTCTCAGCTAGGATGAGCCAGTGATAAAACCTGTTGCTTCCCCCAAGAATGCAAGAAGGATAAATATGTTGAGGATTTTGAATTGTCTCTTTACAAGGTCAAAATTCTGTGGGCATTAGTGAGGGTGTATAAAATAGCACTTCTGTGGACATTAGTAAGCAATAAAAGCAAAAATGAGCTTGCTGTTCTGGCAGGCTTTTCATATATATATCAACTTCTTTTTTTTTTTTTTTTGTCATCTCTGATACAGCTATAAAGAAAAAGGCAAGCTAAACTTCTCCAGTCTGTCAGCTTTCTCAGTAAGTTTCCTTATCCAGCACCGCGAGGGACAATCTCAGTACATAAGAGGGAAAACAGTCAAAGAGACACTTGAAAACTTTTTTGCCTCTTCAGATGAAGAGATCTCTGAAGAGCACGTTCCTACTTGGTTCAAAAATACCCATGGCATAAGAAAACTCGTCAGCCCAGAAGAAAAGAGAGTGAGTATCTTTGATGAAGCAAGACTTGAGCTAGAAGGTTTCAAACAGGGGCTGTATTCACCACATTTCTTATGGATCATGGGTATTTGTGCTTCGGCAAAAAGAAATAACCCTCAAAAACTGTTTTCCCTCCAGCGACAAATCCAAAGGAATTGGGATTTGATTACTGCCCCTGCTTGTGTAACCGACTCGTAAGAGGAGGTTAGACCAAGCTCAACCCCACGCACATATTTCTTGCCTGTAATGAAAAGAAGGAAGAGATTGTGGGTGATTTTATCAGTGCCTGAAATGATACCATGTGTAAAGACAGGAGCCTTTTTTAGTAGTCCTGATATGCGGAGGAGCTGGAGCACAAACCTCTTAGCAGCTCTTAGAGGACAACACTGACATTGCAGGCAATGCAGGCTGGAACTCTGGAGAAAATTAGCATTTTTGCTCAGCAGTGAGCACAGCTGATCTGATCCACTCCAGTTGTCAGGAATTTACTTGGCAGCTGTTATATCTGGCAGGAAATAAATGATATCCTTAAGGTGTCAGGTACCTTTGCAGCTGGCAAGCTCACCAGAGAAGCCAAAATAGGCCCAAGGTCAGGAGACTCTTCTATTAGCTGCAACAGAGACTTTATTAAATGGGGGGAAAAGCTACCCAGCACTGACACAGAAGAGAAATATGAGGAGAAAATGTTCAGAGAATTGGACAGTCTACCTTTAAACCAGTGTGAAAAAATCCGAGAGCAATCAGGGAGTTGTTTGGAAGGAAGGAGGGAATTTGGAAAGGCAGCTAAAGGAGGGATATGACATTTAAACTCTGCAGGCTTATTGCCAGCTCTGTACCAGCTACGCTGGGACTTCAGGATCTGCTCTGCCTAGGCTATTTTTCAAAGCAATCTATCCAGACTCTTCTGGGTTTGCTTTCTAGATCAACGTTCAAGAAGCAAAGGAGATATGGTACCATATGAAGAAGCTGGATGGAGATGCAGAGAAGAATTACAAGATAACATATGATGGTAAGAGCCTGCAGATGTCAAATAGCTTCCAGGTAAAGGGAAATAATAGATCAAACCAGATGCAGCTTTTTCATGCACCTTGCCCTGGCTCATCAGGGAGTTCCAAGCAGACATCAAGACAGGAGGGGTTGTTTAGTTTGTTTGCAATATGTGGAAGCAAATGTGCAACCTTTCTAGATGTCGTCATGCTTCCAAGCAAGGAGTAGGGCTAGAAACTGCTTTATTCATTCATTCATTCATTCATTCATTCATTCATTCATTCATTCATTCATTCACCTTAAGAAGAGATTACTTTTTAAAGTCATGATGTTGCATGACCAGAAAACTTTGACGCCCTGGCTGACGGGCCTTGTTTTCTCCCTCAGGATATTTGAAACTTTGGCAGCTCAGCAAGCCTCAGCTCACAGGATACGATGCCATTTTTGTGGACGAAGCACAGGACTGCACTCCAGGTGAGTGGTGGCAGGAGGCAGAGCCACATCCTTCCTGAGCAATTTAAAAGGAGGATGCTCACGTGCCCGGGAATGTGTGAGAAGCATTAAATAAAGAGATTCCTGCTTCTCAGGGGTAACATCACAAGTGATGAGAAGAGCCTTCCCTTATCAAGAGAAGGGGATCTGCTGAGGACATCTGCTTAAAATGTCTAAGGACATGAAGGGGGAATGTGGGGAGGAAGGGCCAAGCTCTTGTGGATGGTGGCCAGTGGCAGGCCAAGGGGCCCTGGGGCCAAGCTGCAGCGCAGGCAGCTCCACGTGGCCGTGAGGAAGAGCTTGTTTGGTGGGAGGGTGCCCGAGCCCTGGCCCAGGCTGCCCAGGGAGGCTGCGGAGGCTCCTGCTCTGCAGATCTGCCAGCGCGCCGGGATGCGCCCGGGTGCCCCGTGCTCTGGGTGTCCCTGCTGGAGCAGGGGCTGCGCTGGGGGAGCCCTGGGGGTCCCTTCCAGCCTCAGCCATCCTGGGATTCTGTGAGTGACTGCGCTTGGTCCTGGATCCTTGCAAATTCCATAAGGCCATTTGCACAACAGCAGGCGGGATGAGCAGCAGCGTGTGCCTCAGCTGAGGGGCAGCAGCCACTGAGAGCAGCCTCATTCTGCAGCTTGGCCCATCCAGATGTGCCCTACAGACCCCTTGGCTGTTGCAAGGGGATGGGATACGTGTCAGAGCTGTGCAAGGGGGACAAAACTGTGTCCAAACCATGCACTTGAAAACAGGGGAAGGAGGGCTGAAAACAGCACAGTGTTTTCAACAGCTATTAAATCAGTTCAGCTGCTTCCTTGGCCCATCTGCTGCTCATACTCATGGGGCCTGTGGAGCTGGCGGCCCCGCCAGAGCGAGGGATGGTCGGCCAAGCTGTTCCCAGTGGATGGGAGGGCTTGCAGGGAGGTGGGCTGGGTCAGCACGTGCTTGGGCGATGCCTCCAGGCCCCTGGGAATGGGTGGTGGGTTTGTGCTGGGCTCAGGCCTGTGGAATGAAGATGCTCCGCAGTGCTAATGTGTCCAGAAGTATGGGCAGGCTGGGACAACGGGAACGTGTACGTGGAGTTCATCACCTCTGCACTTGCCTCTCCTCCCCTACTTGCTTCTTCCTGCAGCTGTGATAGCCCTATCTTCAGTGTCATAAGTCATTGTGCAAGAGCTCTGCTTTAAGTCTGGAGTCTTAGCTCATCTGGGCTCAATTCTTTCTCCACAAAAGCATCTCGCTGCCTCAACACGGTGTATTGTTGTGTGCCTTGCCTTGGGCTCCTGCTGCCTTCTTCATCGTGTTCTCTCTTGCTCGATGAGCAGCTCTGGGCACCTGCTTATGAGCTTCTTGCTGTGCAGTTTGTTCCTGCTTTCCGAGCGGGCTGCCCTGTGACGCTCTCCCCTTTCCCCACAGCCATCGTGGATGTCGTGCTGTCGCAGTCGTGCGGCGTGATCCTCGTCGGAGACCCTCACCAGCAGATCTACACCTTCCGAGGGGCTGTCAATACCCTCTACACGGTGCCTCACACCCATGTCTACTATCTCACCCAGGTAAGACAAGGAGGCACCTGGAGGAACTTTCCCCACGCAGCTCGAGGAGATGGATCCTTTCCATCCAGGAAAGATGCCAAACCTTGAAATAAAACTGCACGGATTAAAGAGGACACCTCTGCTGGCTCTACGGGTGGCATTGACCTTGCCCCCTGGCTCTGGGCAAACCGTGGCCTCACCAGCTTTGTCCCCAGCAGCCTTTAGACTGTGACCTCTCGTGCAGTGTTTGCTGAAGGCAGGGTTTCAGGAGCCACTCTGGTCTAAGGTTGCCCTCAAGGACGGCTGCTGTTCCCCTCTCGGAACCAGTGCTAGTTGTATTCCCAGGTTGATTATCAAACTGGCTGTTGTTGCAGCTGAAAACTCACCCTGATTAGGTGTTTTTTTTGGTCTCGTTGGCCTCACAGTGATGTAATTAATGTGTTTAATCACAGATAGCATAAGGGCAGGGACAGTTTTTCAGGAATGCCTGCAGGACTAATCAGCTTAAGCCAAAAGTGAAAGTTTGTTTAGGTGCTAACGGCACTAAGGCCCTAAGCCAGAACTACTACCAGGAAACTACTACCAGGAAGCCCACCCATCCCAGATGCCTTTTCCTGCCAGCCTGGCCCAGGACAGGCCTGTGGGGATGGGGACCGTCTTTATTTTTTGTAGCACATCTCATGACAGGCTTGGGACCTGCTTCATACCACTTTGTTTGCAAGCTTCTGAGCACATTTTTGGAAAACAGGAGCCTCCCTCCTCTTCCTCCAGTAGATCTTTTCAATAAAACACCACAAATGCACTTGGGGCTTTCAGCCCCAGACACTCAGACTGTTGGCACCAGATCTCTGGGATAGGGAAGCCCAGGGATCAACTCTGACACTCTGCTTTGCTATATGTGATGGTCCATCTCTCAGCGCAGCTCCCATGGCCTTGAGTGCAAACATGACCAAGCATTCTGGGAATAGATTCTGGGGATTTGGGTGCTTTTGCTAAGAGAAAGACCATCAGGAGGGTTGGTGTGAATTGTACAATTTCAGTATGGTAGAACTTTGGCAAATTATAACAAGTTCCTCCTGCTGTCTTGCTTTCCTTTCCTTCTCTTTTCCACACAGAGCTTCAGATTTGGTCCTGAAATAGCTTATGTGGGAGCAACCATCCTGGATGTCTGCAAAAGGATCCGGAATAAGACGCTGGTGGGAGGAAAGCAGGAAGGTAAGTTGGCTCTGGACACTACTTAGCACCTTCAGCTCTGCTCGGGCACAAGGAGCCCAAGAGCTACTGCATAAACTGCAGTGATTTGGGGTTAATCCTGCTTTCTGAGCATCTTTGGTTTTCCCATAGCTATCTTCTTGCTGCACTGACTAACTGGGAATTAATTTCTGTGCTCAGGTGATGTGAGAGGCAGCGTGGAAGGGAAGATAGCAATGTTATCACGAAGCAATTTCAGTGTATTTGAGGATGCTGTGAGACTTACCGAGAGAGAGAGACCCATAAACATACATGTGATCGGGGTAAGTGGATGTGTCACTCGTGTCCCCATCTCAAGTGCCCAGCCTGGGCAGCACTTGCCTTTTGCTACCAGAAGGATTCAATGCTCCCACATTAGGAGAATAAAAATCAGCTGTAATTGCAAGCTGGGTGTAAACACTCTCCCCTCTCTGCTGGTGAGAGGACTGGGGACTTCTTTTTTCAGAAAAGCATGTGCATAAGTGCAGACATCCATGTGCTTAAATTGTGGGGATGCTTTCATAATGCTTCCCACATTTCCAAAACCTCAGGAGAATCTGTAGTCTTCAAACTCCAGGAAACAGGTACCCGGGATTTGAAGGTGTTCTTGGTTTGCAGTGAGAGAAGCAGAAGTGCACACAGTGAGTGACTGTCCTAGGGCAGCCCATGCTTGGGGAAGAGCTCAATCTTTTGAGTTTTAGGTTGATACTTTAAGTTCTAAATTTTTGTTCTTGTTTTTTTGCCTGGGAAGCTGCATCAGTTCTGCCCATCAGAACAAAATGACTGCTTGAACTCCTTATTCAGGAGGAAATTCAGGCCCATCTTTGCAATTTGGAATGAGAAGTGTAAACACAAACTGTCATCTCTTTTTCTTTTCGAGAGAACAAACTGAATTTGGAAATATGGAGAGAAAAAAAAACCCAATTTCCTTCACTCCTTCATTTTTCATTTCCTTCCTAAAAGAAATATTGCCAAAACAAAGCACTTTGTTGCAGTGTATATTGAACCCAAAGCATTTACAGCTGGTTTAGCATGTTTCTTCCCACTACAGTGGCCCACATTTTCCTGGGAGCAGAAAGCAGGACATTTTGGGAGTCGAATGGGTCTGGAGCTGCCTGTCCTGCAAGATGTTTTGGAGACATTGACCGACAGAATTCTTCATTTCCTTGAAATGCTCCAGAGTGCAGCTGCTTGAAACCAAAATGACCAAATGACCTCGTTAGCCAAAAAAAAAACAAATGTTGAAGGTCCTTTGAGTCGTCTGTAGAGACAGCAGCCTGTGTTCTTCTCGCTGCCCATCTCTCTTGCATGAATCCGGAGATCACTGCCTTCCCAGATACTCCTTTCCCTATTCCCAGCTGGTTTAGGAAAGTGTTTTCCCGTTGTGTCTGCAGCAAACTCCCCTTATTTGCTCCCGGATGACACCAACAGCCACTGGACCTCGTGAGGCTGTTTATGATCCGAGACATACGTGTTCAGATGTATGTTAAGTTGTTCTTTGTTTTAGGGGCTTGCCCGCTTTGGACTCAGCAAAATTCATGATATTTGGAAGCTCTCCCAGCCGGTACATGAACGGGAAAGATGTGAGTATGTTCTCAGCCTGCTCTCTGCAATCCTCCCTGCAGCAGCATGAATGCTCTAGTTGCTGCCGTGGCGATGGAAAGCAAAATGATCCACAATATTTTTATTTTATTTTTATTTTATTTTATTTTATTTTATTTTATTTTATTTTATTTTATTTTATTTTATTTTATTTTATTTTATTTTATTTTAT